CTGGTGTAACGTGCCGTGAGCCGCGGAAAAATGCAGCATGCCTTCACTTTCCTGCAGCGTGCAGGATGGCACCATGTGTCACTAACAGCAGCATACGCACTGCAACGCTGCCTGCCGGAGTGGCACTGTCACTAGTTTGGATAGCAAAACATGGCCTTTTACTGTATAGGCTAGTTGGAATAAAGCCTAAAGGTAAAACTCTACTAAGCACTCCACACCTCCTCTTTCCATTGTATGTCACACTCTACAATGGAACCTTGTCCCTTTTACCCATAACAGATACAAGTTATAATAATAATAATAATCAATATATAATATTATGGCTAAAACATTACTACCAAGGAACTGCAGCCAAAAATCAGTCCACAACATCAGAGTGGCCAATTTACGGTTTTAAAGTAGAACTTCACTCTCTCAGTCAACATTGACTATTTTTAATCCTCATGCTGCTTGCATTAGTAATTAGACAGGATATCATATTTACTTGTTTTAAAGGATTTTTTTTTTTACATTTCTTCAGTTACTTCCTGGTTTCTGGCCTAGGCAAATGATTTCATACATCCCAGGAGTCTTGAGGAGGGGAGAAGAGTTTTTTTTTTAGCTAACACCTCCTGTCTACATGCCTGAGCTAAGGGCAGATGGGTTTCATGAAGGAAATGTTACATGAATCATCCCCTTACTCAAGTGGGCTATCGACAGAAATGCTAGGGGGTGTTTTTCAAAGTAATTTCTCAACAAAATAAATCATGGGACATGGATGGATGGGTGAGTTTGCTTTGAATATTAAAAATGAATTAAAATAGTGTTTTTGGTTTGTGGTGCTCAGATATAATGTAGTTCTGCTTTAATGGTGAAATGTTCAAGCAAATGTTAAGTTTCTATGTTAAAGTGGAGTTCCACTCACTCTGTAAAAAAAATAAAAGTCAGCAGCTACAAAAACTGTAGCTGCTGACTTTTAAAAAACAGACAGGCACTCACCTGTCCCACGATCCCGCGGTGCCCCCGCAGCAGCCTGTTTCACCGGCCGTCCTGTATTCCAGGCACCAGCATCTTTAGTGTGGGCACCCAGCTGTGACAGTTTGCGGCTTCACAGCCGGGTGCCCACTGCGCATGCGCGAGTAGTGCTCCGTTTCCTGAATGGCCTTATCTTCTGGGACCTGTCACGTGTCCCACAAGACTACAGGGAGGGAGGGTAGGACAACTTCCGCTTCCGATCGCCAAGGCGATCGCAGCGGAAGTGGGTACCTGTCAATTTGAGGTACCTGCTCCCCTAAGGTGCCAATCCTTAATGGGGAGAGGGGGACTTATCTTTAATGTGGAACTTCCCCTTTTTGGTGGATCTCCGCTTTAAATCAAGAATATGTTTTTACTTTTTACACAGTCAGCATGAAAGGAATATAGCCTTTGTAAATGTGGAAGATAAGCCTAACTACAACTATTCTTAAAATGTTGTTTCCCTCTACCAATCCTGCATACCTGTATAAAAAAAAAATCTGCGTACTTGCCTATTTTAATCCGCTCCAGTCACATGATCTGGCAGTTATGGCTCCCTTTTGTCAGTGAGCGGCTTCTGCTGGGGAGATAATGGAGTGCCGACAGTGGCTAGACCAATGGGAACTTATGGCTCATGAACACAGCTCCAGTAATATCCAGTCGTTTTCAAGTGGTCCTTTACACAGGAGAGCTGGAGCTGCCAGATCATGTTATCAGACAGGAGCAGATTAAAAACAGTTCACTGCACAGATCATTTTTGTACATAATAAGAAGGAAGGGGGGGCTATTTTTAAGAAGAGTTAGTATTAGCCTTCCAGTATAATGTTGACTGTGCCCCCATTCCTATGAATTCTCCTTACACCCTGCTTACTTGATGGGTGTCAGACAAGATGGTGCTCTATGTCATTTGTGTCAAAAAGAACAGAAAGTGAGGGGAAATCCCTCCAATGAGAACACAGCAATAAAAACACATATATACAGAAAACAGCTAAAGGTTTAACATTTCATTAAAGCGGAGCTGCACCCAAAAGGGGACATTTCACTTTAAAGTACTGGTCTCCCGCTCCCTGTGAGGAATTGGCACCTTTGGGGAGCGGGTACCAGATTTTGACAGGTATCCGCTCCTACTTCCGCTGCAGCCGCCTAGGCAATCGGAAGCAAAATTGCCCTCCCTCCCTCTACGTATTCTTCTGAGACACATATCAGGACCCAAAAGACTGCGGGACAAGGTGCAGCGCTAATTGTGCAGTGGGCACTTGGCACAAGCTGTCACAGCTGGGTGCCCACACTTAGGATGCCGGTGCTGGGGAGAGGATGGCCGGTGAAACTGGCTGTGGAGAGTACACCGCTGGATCATGGGACAGGTGAGTGTTTTTTAAAAGTCAGCTGCTGCTGACTTATTTTTTTTTAGGTTTCTCTGGAGCTTCGCTTTAAGTATCTATTCTCAACCTTCAAGACAAGGGCCCAATAAACAGTAAAAACAATAACAGAAAAAAAAAAAGTTTATGCTAACACAGTAAATGTATGGGAATATAAAATATTCACTGAAATGACGGTAGGCTCTGAATGGGGCTGGATGTCACTGTGTGGGGGAATGGAGGTTCTGAAGGGGACACTGTGGGGGCTCTGAGGGGGCCTAGGGGGAGGTTAGGGGCTACGTTGGACCACTATGGGAGGTTAGGTGACACTGGGAGGCACTGTGGGAAGTTAGTAGGCCTGCAGGTGACTGAAGGCCCAAGAAGAGACAGGCCACAGCCCAGTGGTTGGGCCATGACCCGGTGGTTGAGAACCACTGATCAAAGCAATAACATTTCTGTGGTAGATTTTAGGAAGATCTCTGCTATAAGATTGCAATTCAACAATGACCAGACCATCCTTCTATCTTAAATCATATAGCTGAGGCTCTGTGCTCTTGCTCTTATACTAAACACTAACAGCTGAACTATCAGTGTAAATACTTTATTACATTCCACAATGTGCCCAGAGCTCCCCTTTACCTATAAATATGAACAAGGAAACATCCTTTGGCAATACACCTAAATATTCACTAGTCCATATAAACAACCAAGAATAAATTAAAACAATAGATAACAAAAGGATAAAAAAAATCACAACAGTGAATAAAGAAATTGTTTAATAATCACTGCAAGAAAGGCCTGGATTATTTCCTAGATACACAGAATATAACTGGATACTAACACTTATAGGTAAAGTTGATCCAGGGAATATCCAGTTGCCTCTCGGGGGATCAGGAAGGACTTTTTTCCCCTGCAGGAGCAAATTGGATCATGCATTTCTGGTTTTTTTTGCCTTCCTCTGGATCAATTGTGGGTGTAGGATTATAACTTTTTTTTTTTTATGGTTGAACTGGATGGACTTTTTGTCTTCTTTCAGCCAGACTAACAATGTAACTATATATTCAGCATTCTCTTAAAGTTGAACTCCAGTAAACTTGAGAATTCTAACTGCTTGTTTAGGTCTAGAGGGCATAGGAAAGAATATTTACTTACACGATCCTCCATGCTGGTAGACCAGTCCCCGCAGCATCTTCTCCCCCATGCTACAGCGGTGTAAGGTCCTGACATCATCAAGACCGATGCAGCGTACATAGCCCTGCACTGAACATGATGATGCCAGTAGCAAGTCCACTGCCAGAGCAAGGGGGAGTGCCGTCTGCCAGGAGGATCAGGTAAGTAAATGTGCTTTTACTCTCCCTTAGAATAAACAAGCAGTTATTCCTTGCAATGTGAGTGCAGAACGGAGATCTGTGAGAAGATGCTTGTCGCAATGTACAATGGGATTGTCAGCGTATTTTGTGCTAAGATTAGTCTAATTTTATTCAGCGTCTCCTGATAGATTTCTGCAGTAACATTGTAAGTCAATGATGACCTGACCTTCCTTGTATCTTGAGGCTTGTCAAGTCTAAAAGTGGAGATGACCACTGCTCACCACTAGCTTCTTACTTTTAATTGTAGCATAGCCAGATCGTTCATAAAGCAACCTAGCTAGGAGCCAACGGTCTGGTATATGTCCAGGGGACTCAGCTACAGTACATCCTTCATGTTCATGCAGTAAACCACGGAGATGGAGCCTGTGGATTCACAAGGGAGTATGTACTTGTAGATACCTGGTGCCTGATGGGATAGGCTATGACAGCACAGACAATGCAAATGAGATGGCTTCCCTGTGCCTAGCAATCCTAATCAATGCCAACTGAAAAGATGATGGGGGGAGAGAAAACAGCTACCCCACCCAGGGCCCTATTCTTCCTTAATCCATCTCTTGCAGGTAGACCATGGCTTAAAAAACTTCCATCTGGGTTCACATCTTTCTGTGCATGTTTTCATGCATTTTCACAAGCTTTATCAACAATCCTGTCCTGCATTATCAATAGGCCCTATAATGTGCATCGACTCTGAGGCTGAGCAATGCACATCAACACATACCCAGATGTGAACTAGCATTATTAAAAACAATGGGTAATCCATATACATACAATAATTTTTTTTCCGTTGTGGATGGAATGGAGAGGGATTAGGATACCTGTCAGGTTTTTATTGCTGTCTGTGTCCCCGTTAGGGAGTTTCACTCTCCCTGTTTGTCCTGTTTACCATTATTATCGAAAGTGAAATTAAAAGAAAACCCTGAATTTTGGGGTGTCCTCAGAAAAATAATAAAGGGGACATGTTCCAATGGGGACACTAGTTCTGGTGACCTTGGGGTCCCCAAGGAATTCCCCTAAATTGCAGGGATTATCTCCCACTTCTTGTTTTGGCCATGGGACAGGAAGTGAAGGTAAATCTCCTCAATGGGACACAGATGCAAAAAAATAAACTGACAGGGGTTACAACCCTCCCTTATTCTATCAGAAATGAAAAAAAAAACAAAACATTTTGCCTATAATTCTACTTTAAATTGAATAGGTTTGAATGGGCCCTGTATATTCTACAAATCTTAACAGGAATTCTGGATTCATTGCACTATAGTTTGCAGAAAAGGTTACCAACCTTCTTATCTTTGTCTTCGTCTACTTTTGAAGTATTTTCAGACAGCTTCTTCATTTCCACCAGATCTTCCTGAACTTTTTCATATTTCATACAAAGTTCATCGATTTCGTGTTCTTTTAATTTAAGTTGGCCTTCCAGTACTTCTTTTTCCTCCATTAATTGTGTAATGTCCCTTTGAGCTTTTCCATTGTCTACAGAAAACTTGTCTTTTTCCTTCAATAAATCACTTACTTGTGAAGACAACGTGCTTATTTCCTCTTCTAAAGAAACTTGCCTTTCTGCCAATAGCCTTTTAGTTACAGCCGATTCCTGGACAGTGACTTTTTCGTGCTGCAATTCACCTTCCAAACTCTTCATTCTGGACTCTTGAGAAGCAATCTTCTCCATCAGTCCATTCTTCTCCACCTTCATTATTTCAATCTGCTTCTTCAAATCATCAATAACCCTCTGAAGCTCTGAATCTGGTGTGTCTTCCTTTTCCTTGTCCAACTGCTGCTTCAACTCACACAATTCCTCTAATATTCTGGCATGCTGAGATGCTAAATCAACCAAATCATTCTCAACTTTCTCTTTGCTTTCTTCAACCTCTTGCAAGTGCTTCAAATGCTCATCTTTATGAATGAAGTCAGATGAGATATGATTAGAAGCTTGCCTTGTCTTTTCTAGTTCCATTTGGGCTTCACTGTACAACAAAGACAACTCACTGACTTGTTTGGTCAACTCATCTATCATAATAGACCTATCTTCCTCTTCATGCCCATTTGCCAAAGTAACAGACTCTTTGTGACAGTCCAACTCTTTCCTTAATTTTTTTATTTCTTCTAGAAGGTCTTCCTGCTTATTGTTAAGTTCAGAATTCTCTACGTTTAACTTTTCTATGACTGCACAGTAAGACTTCTCCATCTCTTCTTGTCTTTCTATGGGTACCAGATTGACAATGCTTTGAGTTACAACATCTATTTGGTGTCGTAAATCGTTCATCTCATTCTCTTTCCTTTCACTTTCAGCAAGAACATCCTGATACTCTCTCTTTAGCACTTCAAACTCTTCCAGAACCATGGCATTGTCCTCGTTTGATTTTGCAATGCCTTCTTCGTCTAACTCTTGATCAACCCTTGACATCCTTTGAAGATTTGGCTTTAGTGATGTGTTGTCTTTCTGCTCGTTGAGTGATCCCTGAGGCGGAAGGTCTGTATCAGAAGGCGCTTCGGAAGTTTCTGTGCTGAACAAGGTGTGACAACCTGCAGTTATTGACTGAATATGTGTTTCCAGGTCCTTCCTTATTGTTTCTGATTCCTCAAGTTTTATCTGCATTTCTTCTATCGTTTGTTCAAGCTGCTTGACTTTCAGTTCATATTTTGTCACTTCTGGTTGGGATTCATAGGAAATGTCCGAGTTATCAGAAATAACGGCTGCTGACTTTGCCTCTTTATCTTTGGCAATAGATAACTCCGCTTGGGTAGAATGAAACGAATCACAACTAATATCTGGTATAGCTTCAGCATTGGCTTTTTCCTGTAGTGAAAAGGACAAATGGTGTAAAAAAACCCATGCTAAAACCAGTAAAAGTACAATGTTTTTATATAAAAAGCAAATCAAAATTAATAAATATAATCTACTTGCCATGCAATGGGAGAGTACATAAAGTGTAAAAGAAAGAAATTAGAGAAAGGGAAAGCTACAACAAAATGATACAATATGAAGATACAGGACCGCTATAGCAGAAAATAACAAGATTTGTGCTACTCACTGTAAAATCCCTTTCTCTGAGTAAATTGATGGACACAGCTCTTCTATTCTTGACTACAGGATTACAGCGCCACCTACAGGAGTAGGACACTAGGCAGAAAAAGAATACAGCACTGCTTATGGGCAGTCCTAGTTGGTATAAACCCCCTCTCTGCTATAAGCAAGTCAGTTAGTCACAAAGCCGGGTAAGAAGATGGGTGGGTGCTGTATCCGTTAATGAACTCAGAAAAAGGGATTTTACGGCGAGTAGAACAAATCCAGTTTCTCTTATGTTTAATGACGGACACAGCTCTTCTATTCTTGACCATAGGTAAGTCCCAAAACAGTGCCTCAATGAGGGGTGGACAAACCAAAGAACTGAAACTGCAAGACAACTATGGCTTTCTTATAGCAGAGAAGGGGTTTATACCAGCTAGTACTGCCCATAGGTGGAGCGGTGTTATTTTTCTTCCTAGTAGTTGGTGCAACAACCCTATGGTCAATAGAAATAGAAAAGCTGTTTCCGCCATTGAACATAAGAGAAAATGTATTTTTGTAACTGTATATTACTATTTAGAAATATCAGACAAGAAGCCAGTAATATCACAAAGACAGAGATACCGCTTTTCAAATGTATCACTATTCAGAGAAGTTTAAAATGTACAAGGAATCAAAATACTTTCTTAAATGTTACGTGTGTCCAAACTAAGCATTCGGTGAGTTTGTGGTAAAGATTACACAATAGGAAAATAAGGTGCAGACCAATGATTACAAAGTACAAATTTCAAGAACGAACATGCTGCAGGTCTATCAATGGGGAGGACACATTTGGTTGCATAAAACAGGGGAAACAAAAATTCTTCATTGGTGGATGTGATGTAGTATGTGGCGTAAGTATAACCTCTGTGGGGCAGACAGCGTCCTTAAGACCTCTTTCACATGGACACACTATTCGGTCTGATAAGCAGGGAACCCATGAACAATTCCCTGCTAAATCAGAGCAGAATGGACTGGATGTTGCTTTTGTAACATCCATGTCAGTTCAGTTTTCTGCCGATTTTAAAAAATGAGGCTTCCTGGAGCAATGATAGATGTACGGGTGAATGGGTGTAAACAGACCTTTTACACTAGTCTACCTCTGATCCGCCATGTTTGAGTCCCAAACTACATAAAAGTACGCAGACTTGGAACAAAGGTAATTGGATGTAAACAGATAAAAGTCCATTTACATATGGCAGCTGCCATAGACCAAAATGGAACTTCCAACTGGGTCCACCTGAAAAACTGACAGGCAGACCTGATCAGACCAACTGTGTCAAAGGGGCCCAGGGTTCTAGAATGATAAAACCCAATCTAGTAGAGGGAAATAAATTAGGGTTAGCCTAAATGGCAAGAGCTGCAAATTACTTCCCTTTTTTATTGCGTCTTTATTTATATTTTCTCCACATTTACATGCAGACTAAGCTGTGTGCTTCTGGTTCCCTGAGGATGTTATTTTTAATGAAACACGTTGGGCGGGGCACGCTGTCTGGTGTCTTCACATGCCGTGCATACATGTTGTTCAGTGGATTCTTACCAATATGCATGTCTGTCATTACTGCCTGTGAATATGTTTATGAGCGAATAAACTCATATTTATTCAACATCACACTATGGGGTTTATTTACTAAAGTGGGTTCACTCAGAATCTTGTGCACCTGTGATTGGTAGCCAATCAGCTTCTAACTTCAGCTTGTTCAAATAAGCTTTAGCAATAAAACCTGTAAGCCGATTGGTTTGTATGCAAAAGTGCACAAGATTCTGCGTGAACCAACTAATTAAACCACTATGCGATCTGTGGCTTATCTAAATTTTTGGCCCACTGAAAGGAGCGAAGATCTAAGGAGGAGTTTTTATTGTGGTTATGGTGTCTCTGGCTACCTGTTCATTCTGGATGAGCACATTTCACTGCTATATACAGTAAGAGGCGGCTGATCATTTGGTAAGGGGTGTATTTTTATATGTGGTATCGAGAGTCTTTTTTCAACATCACATGACACTGTGTAAAAGATTCACAATGTGCTGAGGTATTGCTTATGGGTGTATTTGGACTTCAATTTGCACTTATTGAGGACTACTGGGACTTTCTTTCTTTTTATTTTTTTGAAGTATAATGAGTTTCTTATTATATCAAGCATTATATAATATTTTAATTATGCATATTGTGATTTTTAAGAAGCAGCACTTCACATTTGGTTATATGTATGCAGACTAAGCTGTCCAGCATAAATGGCAGTTGCAGGGAGAGGGACAAACCATTTGACACTACTGCAAGGTGCTTGCAGCAGTCATCTTTTATTTGAATGGCTTCAACTTTTTTTCAGATTCATTGATTATGGTTGCCTAAGGAAATTTGGATTCGACCAACCTGTAACTTGTTTTGCAGTTCCTTGTTTAGCAATGTCAGAGAAGCCACTTTTGCTTGCAGTAGTGAAAGAGTGTCTTGCTGTTCCACCTCGGAACTTACATCAAGAAGACTGTCTTCCCCTGTAATCAATAAATAAATAATTATACAATTAATGATGCTGCTGAAAAATGTAATTTCAGTTTATTATAAATACAGTATGGTCAAGTAGAAGGTGATGCCTAATGCGTCTTGGTGATAGGTAAAGAGATTGTCAACTTGCCCATGCAGGTGGCACAGTGACAATTGGGTTGATTTACTAAAGCAGCTGATAATGTTCATTCAGCTTATTGAATGCAGTAGAGCTACGTTAACTTTGAACTTTGAATAAGATTTTACATTGCACGTGATCAGATAACTGAAGTGAGCAGTTTCACTTTATTCTGCAAGCTAGGGGAACATTCTATGATGCTTTAGTAAATCACCCACAGTTTTACTGCAATGGGCCCTAGACCCACTGATACTCACCCTACCAGCCCTGCTTCGCCAATGCTTCCTCCAACACAGCTGGCAACACTACCTGGTATAAAGGAGCATGTGACCCCCTCCCCTGTACCAGTGAACAGATGGGTCTACAGCCAATTGCTGGGACCAAGGACTGTCACAAGACAAGTGGTTGTTCTCACCGCTCTCCATGGTTGCTGACACCAGTGATTTTGAGAAAGCAGTGACAGAGTTGGGGCGACAGGGGAGCACTACTAAGGTAAGTATAGGAGGTGCAGGGAAAACCTTAGCAGAGACATAGTCATTCTGGCTTGCATAGACACATTGACCCTGTGGGGCCTCCCACACTGCAAGAGTTAAATGCTATTATGTCCACGGGTGCACCGAAAGGGAATAAACTATTACCTTACTCATGGCTCCAGCACTGCGACTAGTCCCCCCGCAGCCTGCTTTGTAAGCTGTGACCAGCTCTGATCACACTCCAGCCTCTTCAGCATACAATTCAGAGTTCATAGCCCTGTATTGTACGTGATGATGTCAATGCTCCGCCCACAAACTGGAGCTTTGTGCAGAGGAGAGTGCCATAGCCAGCGTGGGGTAGAAGGTAAGTGATGGAAGCTGCATTGTGCATTTTTTTAAAATTTATTTTAAATGTTGTCCTGCTCTTTGAATATTGCTGCTGAGAACCATTCAGTAGTTTCCCAGTCCTGCAGTGTGTGCCCTAAGCCTATATGATTTCAAAGTAGTGACAGTCACATATTTCAGGCAGTGGGGAGCAATGGAGAAGGATACCAGGAAAACAGATTTCTGACATACAGTTGTTTTGTAAATTTTAAGACACTTGGATCAAATGACACGTTTTGTTAACAAGTTTGAACATGACACGTTCCTGCAAATTTTAGCACTTGTCTACTATTTGTCTCCTTGATTTCACAGACTGGAAACCAAAACCTACCATCTGGTATATGCAAATGTTTGAGCTCCCTTCCAGACAAGGGCGGACTGCTCATTTGGAAACTTGGGCGCTGCCCGAGGGCTCAGGGTCAGTAGGGGGCCCAATGTGATGCCCCGGTACCTTTTTCATAGGCTTTTTTGAGTTTGGGCAAGGACACAGGGGCCCCATGATCCCCTATTGCCCGGGGGCCCCATTAGTTGTCAGTCTGCTCCTGCTTCCAATGATCCACTGGTGTTATATGTCCAGAACTTAATTCACTCAGGCCTTTCTCCATCTCAGGTGAAGACAATTCCAGAGCTTAGAAAGTTATATGTAAACCTTGACAATGAACCTCTTTTATTTGTATACATTTGGCCTGTTATATATATATATATATATATATATATATATATACACCATTGAAAGTCTTTTGTTACATCTGTTTTGTGAAAAAAAGATTACCTGTTGATCCTGCCAGAAATCTGGTAAGCCAATTACTTCCTGTGTGCCTTGCATTTGCTGACTTTTCCCATTTCTCTTGGTGAAGTACAGAGCTCCTCAGAACTATGTCCCTATTTCCCCCTGACAAGTGATCCAAAGTGGATCACTTTTCAGGGGTGGCTTGCAGACATTTAGTGGGTGAGACTACTGCCTCCAGAATGCTTGTTGTTTTTCTACTGTTTTTTTTTTTTCCAACTAAAGGGGTATTACTAAATGTATTTTGCATTGAATATCTACAATGCAACTGCAAGCCAATCGTTAGTGGGATAGTTCTATGGACTTTAATAGGGGAGTTTGGCAGAACATGCTGCCAATGAAACTCGACATGCCAAGTTAAAATCACTGCACCAAAATGCAAAGCATCACACCTGCAGCAATGTGTACTCACCAGAGTGGACATCATTTATGTTTGTAGGTGGGTGGTCAGGGAGGGGCAATGAATACGCAGATCAACTTACCTATTTTTATGGCTCATGTGAAAAAGGCCTCATGGAAAAGTGGGGAGGTTTTTTGTAGTCCTAACCAACTGCTTCTCCCAGGGAGACAACAACAATACTCCTCCACAGATGCAGTATGATAACTCAACATTACCATTAGGGCCATTTCACACTGCTTTGTTTATAAAATCATGGTAAAACACATATGCAATTTTGCCAGGCCTTTGATGTGTTTTTGACACATTTTCTGGACTCCTGACTCCAATCATGCACCTTCGACATGTGAAACTTCGACATGTGACTCAATAAACGCACCACGGTTTCCACAGAAATCAATGGGAGATGCATTTTTGGTGTGCTATTATAGAGTGTGCCAAAGATGCAGCATGCAGGAAAAGGATATATTTTGCATACATTTTTTGTCTGCTGTTTTTTTACCCCAGAAACTTATAAAAATGGATCAGCATGATAGGACCCTAAGAAAAGAAGGGCTTACCAGTCCTTAGATGTTTTGCTTGTATATGTTTCCACTTTGCAGGCCTTTTCTCTTTATTTTCATCTGTTGATCAGCCTAATAACACACTTCCCGTCCTAGGGTGACAACTCTCACCTTACTGTATAGAGGAACTGTGTTGTTACCCTACGACAGAAATACAGAACCCTCACCCTCTCTTTTTCTCTATATCATAGAAGAGAGGGGTTCCGCATTCCTCAGAGATAACTTGGAACAATAGTAACTGATAACAGTCAGCATATGCTGAGAGCAAAGAGGGAATTTTTTTTTTAAATGGTGTTCCTCTTTAAGGTGTCCATATACCGGAGAACAGATTTTTTTTTACAACTAATCTTCTACCAATAATCTGCTTTCTAACCACTTATAATTACAAGAAGAGGCCTGGATGGTAAAATTAATCATTCAGGTAGTGCATATTTAAATTGACACAGTCTTTGCATGAATGATTTTATCACCTTACCTATCTGCTACAGATGAAGTCATGCAATCTATTATTTTACCTGTGCTGTCACTTAGTCTGTCTCTGAATTCTCTCCTGTAAGACGTATTTTCATCCTGCAGGAAAAAAAAACCCAAAAAAAAACCTGAATGCCGAATTAAAAAAACGCCCAAAAAACAGCTGAATAATCAGAATGCAGCAAGATAACTCCTGGAGGGATCTGTTTAAAGCTGAACTCCAAGCAAACAGCTAAATACACATATGGAAAGAGAGAACTGTTTTACCTGTCAAAGGATTTGTATTTCTGTCCATCCAGTGCTGATATTTTTGCACAGCTCTGTCACATGGCACAGTCTGGTCTGGCAGAGGAGACCTAAGTAACACTTACAGATCCTGTTCCTCTCCCAGTCTGTGACTGCACAATAAAGGGTAAGCAACAGATTATCAACTCATCTCTCTGTTATTCTGCACCCTCAGAATGCTCCTGTTTAGCGCATGAATGCTGAACTGAATGTCTCATTGTGCTACTGTTCATTGTCGCAGTCTGAGCTCTGCTGTGCAGGAAAGTGCAAAAGGCTAATAACAAGTCAAGTTCTGGTACTTATACTGCTTGCATAAAAAACAACACACACATTTAACAAACAATTACTGAATACGGGGCTGGGTTAACTTGTGTCTTTTATATCTGCTTGGAGTTCACCTCTAAAGCTGGCCATACACTAGTAGATTTTCATTGAAAGTTTGTACAAACATTTCCACAAAATTTCTCAGTACATAATACTTCAAAATTTTGTTTGCTTTTAACAGTCAAATTTGTTATCAAATGGATTTTGCTGAGCGAAAACTTTATTTTCCATTCTGTTCCTTCCAAATTTCTCATCACTGCAGACAAAAACAAATCCACTAATTATTAGAAAAATCAAAAGAATTTTCTTAAAATGAAAACTTTCGAACAAAAATTAGATCTTATGGTGTTACAGAAGAATAGACAGAGAGACAGAGAGAAAGAGAGTGAGAGGCCAACAGTCCCTGGAACAGGATAAGAAGGGAAGAAATTTGGCCCTTTAAAGTACGAGGTCAATAAGTTTCTAGGGGGAGCAAAAAGCTTATCATGGGTGTTTCCAATCTCCATAAAAAAACAGTTGGAAAAGTGGATGCAAAAGGGAAAGCCTTTGAGGCCTTAGAAAGCTAGACTGGAAACAGCACTGGTAGAAACCACAGGCTGATCCTCTAGATTCAGAGAGCTGCACACCCATCATTGCGAGCTGAAACTCTCTCCTTAAATTTGGTCAGGGACTGGAGTGACTCAGAGACTCAGGAAAAGTCCTTTATTTCTGATGACTCCAAAGCCACTAGTTAGTAGAAAATTAGACAGAAAATTTGCAAGTCTTTAATGACTGTAGTTAACAACTCAGCTAAATGGGTAGAGGATCCAATTACACCCAACAGAGCCAATGAGGACTCCATTGATGGAACAGACTTTAACAACAGAGGGCAATATGTACCCAGGGTGATATGTTGGCACAGTCATTAGGCACAATGAAACCATCTCCAAAGCCGTTAGAGTATAGGCTGGGGTTACCCAGTACAAATGAGCTGTCCTTCCTAAGTCTAGAATTAGATGCAACGCTCGGGGTAAGAAGAAAGGCCTTGGGTACTCACCAAACCCAGACAGCTGGTAGCAGCTGAGGGTTGGATGCCCATTAAACCCTTCTGTGGTAGGAACTGCCAGGAACAGGTGATTTAAAAGTGCCTGGTGACCTATGCTCTCAATGTTTGTCCCTACTGGTCTACTCACTAAGTAAATCTTCAAAGAGAAGGTAACCACTGAGGCAATGCCAGTGGCTCTGGACCTGGAAAGTGCTCCATGGCTATTTTTTTTACCAAAACTGAACCAGGTGCCTAAAGGTCACTTCAAGGCAATCCCTGCAATATCCAGTCCAGCAGGGTTTGAATGTAATACTCCAAATAACAGGCTGAGAATAATTGTGCTGTATAGTTGCAATTGGAGAAATAAACTCTAGCAGTGATGTAGAAAAGAATTTTGATGGAAGAAAAAAATATTAAAGGGTAACAAAAACACACTAACCAAAATAGGTTAATCTTCAACAAGACAGAGCTGAAAAAACATGTCCTTTCTCTCAGGACACTAGCAGAAAAACAGAGGCCTGCTGATAGCAGGAGGGGTTGTTCTTGGTAGATCTACAGTAGTTGCTTACTAGTGTCCTATCCTCTTGTAGGCGACAGCATAACCCAAAGGTTAAAGAGTTCCTATGTCAATCAATGGAGGAAAATAAAAACAAAGAAAAACATCCATTAATCTGATATATATCAGCATTAATATACTGATCGCTTAGTATTACCTTGCTGCCTTTTTCTGTGAAAAAGATTTCTCCTTTGGCTGATAGTGGAGTTGATGTTGAGGATACTGGAGAGGACATGTCACTGAGCTGTAATGACAAGAAAACAAATACGGGTGTTTATTGTATACAGTGTGGGGCAGCTATGGAATCTAAATGAACCCAACCACTTCACCAGTACCCTCTCCTATCAGGTTTTCATTATTTGATTATGCTGCTTCTTACATTACTGCCATCTCTTTGCTCCATGTGCTAGTTTTTGTTGACTGCAAGGATCAGAGGTTTCTCCATACACAGAAATGGGATGTAGAAATGCCCAAAACCATTGAACCTCCACCAGTCGGGATAAGTAAAATCAGGGTAATGGGATTCTTATACAATAAAAACATTCGATCAAAATGACAGAGCTGTTTTTTCTTAAAGACTGATATATTTTGTCAGCTTAATCGCAAACCGAACGGCCATATCTATATTTCATTAGTATAGTCTTAATATACAGTAGGTCCCATTCGTTTATGGAATATATTCCCTCTAGAGCATAAGGTTGCTCTAAAACTTATACTAAGAATGGCAAAAGATTTTATACATAGCCTGGAGCCAATAAAAAAGTAAGATCTTCCAATGCAACCCGTACATAACTGTTCATTAACTACAGACACCCAGTTAGCCTTCAAGATTTCCTTTCACATACTATGGGCTTCATTACAGAAATTATCTGATCTAAGAAATGTCTATGATTGAGAGCCAAACATACATTAATGCCGGTGACAAAAGATTGGGTTGGCACTCAGAGAGACAGATGGGAATTCTGGATACAATGATGTGAACATCAAGGAACTGTGATAAGTATCATTAATTCCAGTATAACATATTGCAAACTATTAGATGATCAACAGTTAAATGGGCAGTTTTTTTGCACTGTATATTTTTTTTAAACACAGATAATTTTATGAAGAGCCAATTATCTAGACCAGTGGTCTTCAAACTGCAGCCCGGATTCAGACCTTTGGGACACTATTTCTTTCACTGATACTGGCACGATTCCTATAACTGACACCAATAGTGGGACACTATTCCTCTTACTGACCCCAATGATGGGACACTATTCCTCCCACTTACACCAATGATGTGACACCATTCTTTCCACTGACACCAATCATTGGATACCGTTCCTTCCACTGACACTAACCCAACGATGGGGCACTATTCCTCCCACTGACACCAGCAATAGGGCACAATTCCTCCTTAAACTGACCAGAAGTGCTAATTTATTTACACCCAGTGACCACCAAGGCTGAAACCTTATCTACTTCTACTGAAGTAGATGTGCCTACTCTTCTGGCTTCTGGACCAGTCACTTCTGTGCCTACAGCCTTATAGTTGTATATCTGCATTGTGAGATCTAAGGCATTGACTCTTAGTCTCACATGTTATGAAATGAGATCTGGTGATGCCAATGCTGTTATGCTTGCTGGAGAGAAAACTGTACCTGATGACCAGCAGACAGGAATCCCCCTGCTTTTGAATCACCCTGCATTCACTATGTGGATCTGATTCCTGCACTTGTCCTTCTGCTTCTTGAATTTCCCCACCAGTCATCAGATCATCAGCCGTCAGAGGGGCAGCTCTTACATGAGGAAGCAAAGCCCTGCCTCTACCAAGATACCAAATCACCTGCAAACAGTTCACACAGGAAATCTACAGGTAATACTGGTGACTAGTGCTTGGTTTTCTGCCTGCCTTTTCTGTGCACAACCTCTATAGTACAGGCTCTATTTCATATTTTAGAAAATGCCTACAGTATATTGTCTGTGTAGGTATTATAAATGTATGTATTGGATGCAAACTAGAAAACAAACTAAAATCACATGAAAATGGAAAAAAGAAGACCAATAAAGATCTTTCAGACAAGTATTTAACAGAAGATGCTCATTTAATTACCTGTACAGGGCTGATAGGAGGAGGCGGAGCTTTGCGTTTTTTGGGAGTTCCGCTTCTGTCTGAGCTTAATCTATTCGCTTGATCATGCTGAAAGTTTCATAGGCCAGAAAAAGTGAGCTGTTAGTTGGGTTAGTGGAAACTGAGCAAGACTATATAGTTCTAGAACTATGGCAAGAAACACTACTGATTGCTAGTGCAGAGTAAAGCTTTCCCAAGGAATAGTAACCTCAAACAGTTGCAGTATAGCTACTTTATGTCCATCTGAATAGTGAAAAAAAAAAAAAAAAGTATTTGGGCACAATGAAAGCATGCAACTCTGATAGACTTCGCTGTACATGCAGAAATGTCCAGAAGAGTATAATTTACATACAGTCACCAATTGTAGACATTATACTGATGCATCATAGATTAAAGTCCAACTCTGGGCTATTATTTAAAAGGCTCCCTTGGAGGCAGGAGCAATATTTGTCTTCTCTTTGCTGCTGTTCCCTGTGGTAAAGCTTTCCCACCACTAGATGTCCTCAGTTTTGTGGTCTAAATGACACCCAATGTCATTCAACCCAAAAGACTGGGGATATACTATAAGTGCAGGGTGTCATGGACCAGCCTTTGAGGGGCATCAGCATAGCACCCCGTATCCATGCAATGATGCAGAGAGTAGTGATGCCATTGTCACATCAGATCGCTTTTTGCATTATTGAGAACTGCCCAGTATAACAGAGGGTCCAAACAGGAAGAAAACATTGCATGTCACACGATCAGCCCAAAGACTTCTGACCATGTCTGTTTTTACCATCTTTTCTTTTTGACAATTTTAAGTGTTCCAAAGCCATAGCAAAAACTGCCACTGATAGACTCCTGGACTATGGGAGCTCACAGACCAGTATTTACAGAACTTGTGTGATTTTGATTATTACAAGATGCACTCATTCTCTAGATGTAGAGGGAAGAAAGTCAAGAATCAAAATCAAAGCTGTTCTCAAGATAGGAGAATGGATATATCTAAAGGTAAAGCAATAAAGCTACAAAAATCAAGCAACAAACAACACACCATTTACAATATAAATGTGACAAACTCCTGCGCTCCTACCTAAAAACTAATACCTACCAACAAAGGTAAAGCTGCTACATATAGTCATATACCCATAGACAAAAAATATAAATGAAACAAATGTTGCAGCGCTACTACCATAAAAATTATTCACACATAAATGAATAAGTGAAACAGTGCAAAATTGGTGACACAAATAACATAAACACACAATATTAAATAGTGCCAAACAATCACGTGTGACAGGTGTCAATACGAGGTCCTAAAAGGACCAAATAACATAAATAATAATCCAATGGGATCCAATAGTGCTCCAAAACAAACAAGTCACAACAGGACTCAATGTGCTAACAAAACCTCCCACCGGAACTAAAAATCAGTTCCCACCATATAACACAAAACACACGTGCATCCCAATAAACGCATAAATTAAGAACTGATCATGCAAACAAACATGAATAAATGAATAAATAAATATATAAAGTCCCATGAGGTGAAACAAAACACCTGACAATATACAAAAAAAATATATAAAGTCCACAGCAATTCTTGAAAAAAATGTGCTGATAAATGTGCAGAGATATCCAAAAATGGCTGAATTGCCCGCTCACCTCCCTCTTGCGACCCGCACAGGGTCAAAAAGCCTTCAGGATCACTAACACATGGATGGACCCTTAATAGTAGGTAATCCTCCACAGCTCTCCACACTGACCTCCCCTCATGTACAGATTCCAGCACAGGCTCACAGGGCAGCAGGTCTCCTCTTCAGGCACAAAAGGTGGCTGCAGCCACTTGATCCCTCAGAAAATATAAGTGAATGCTTGCATAGTGTAAAACTATTTATTCACCAAACAAAGTATCACATATCGAATATGCTCACATTTAAAATCATCTTGTACATCACATGTAAATCAAACCTCAGATCAGATGTACTTGCATGGGTGTCCAATGTAAATAAAGAAGGCGCCCGACCAGAAGTGCGTGCGCCAACGCGTATCGTCATGCTTAACACGTGACTTCATCAGGCCTGATGAAGTCACGTGTTAAGCGTTTTGGAGCACTATTTGATCCCATTGGATTACTTGGGGCACCATTTATGTTATTTGGTCCTTTTAGGACCTCGTATTGACACCTGTCACACGTGATTGTTTGGCACTATTTAATATTGTGTGTTTATGTTATTTGTGTCACCAATTTTGCACTGTTTCACTTATTCATTTATGTGTGAATAATTTTTATGGTAGGAGCGCTGCATCATTTGTGTTTCATTTACCATTTACAATATAAACTCCTAGACTAACATTGTTTTATTGGGAAAGGCAGTGCAAATCACAGTTAAGATGAGCTAAGTGCGCAAAACAAAAACAACAAATAGATTTTAGTTTACTGTGAATAGTACAAGATTAATTGTTCTGATTGGTCATTATGATTTACTGTACTTTTCATTGGTAAAGAAGTCTGACGATGTTTTGTGATCAGAAGAGATACTTCCAGCGATAACTACTAGCCCCAGAACACGCACAGACCATGACCTTCAATGCAACTTTAAAGTGATTGTAAAGGTCTATTTTTAATTTTTAAATAACAAACTTGTTATACTTACCTGCTCTGTGTAAAGCTTTTTTCACATTGCAGCCCGATCCGCCTCTTCTGGGGTCCACTGCTGGCGCTCCGGGCTCCCCACCTCGCTGAGTGCCTCCAACGAAAGCTGCTTGCTCTTGACGCTCCCTCCTCACTGGCTGTAATTGACAGCAGCCAATGGCTCCAGCTGCTGTGTCTGAGCCAATGAGGCGGCAGAGAGCCAAGAGAGCCCCTGCTCTCGTGAAAATTGCTAGATCGAGATGGGCTCAGGTAAGTATAAGGGGGGGAGCTACAAGCAAAAGATAGAATAGTAATAGTAAGGTAGAATAGATAGTAAAAACCTTCTGCCTTTACAACCACTTTAAGCGCTACTGAACTGGACTTACAGCGAAATTTTATTTTACTTTTAAATAGATTTCTCATTGGAAGATTAAACTTTATTTCACTTTGTGTTTCAGAGATCAAAAGGACAACAGAGAGGATGGATCTCTTAATAGAGGTGCTAACACTTCCCTACTCCATCCAAACCTACAAATGAGTCTGTGATGGACGCATAAAGGGGTGATTTGAGCAGAAATATTACTAAGGGTCTGCTAATATTATGCTACAAACTATACAATATTACAAACATAGGTAATGTATTCAAAACATGAATAAACATTTTAGGATCACTGATATAAGTACCTGCAATGGCTTGGTCGGGCTTTTTAGTCCTGTGTAGAAAAACAAGGTGAAATTCAGTTAAAGGGTATGTCTGGGCAAAATGTACACATTTTAAGTAGATCTCTACAGTACACACACATTTTCCTATGTTTTATCCTTGCAAGTGACTGTTAATCCTGCATGAAACCCAGTGACCCCCTACGTCCTGTTGTTGGCTGACAATGCTTCCTTTGCTACACTGAAATCCTAAGCAATGTTGTCAGCCCTTCCTGCTGAAATGTATACAATTGTTACCTTCCCAGCAAAACAACATTGCTTGCCTTGATTCTCAAAAGCCTGGCCACACACCAAGATTTATTTACTGAAGCTGGAGTGCAAAATGAGGCTCACTTCTACATAGAAACCAATCAGCTTGTACCCTCAGCTTGTTCAGTTAAGCTTTGGCAATAAAACCTGGAAACTGATTGGTAAATATGCAGAAGTGAGCCTGATTGTGCACTCTCCAGCTATAGTAAATAAATTTCACCGTGTATAGGGAAAGGGCTTTCGGGAGATGTAGTTCTGGGAGTTATGCATATGTTAGTACTAAAGAGTATCAAAGAAATAGTGCAGCGCTTAAATTAATAGTCCTCAGTAATTCCCGATCAGTGGATGTTCCTCAATAAGGAATGTAAGAAATTCCCACTCACCGGAACTACACTTGATACAGTGCAGCATATGAATATTATTCCCTGGTGTCACTGGAAGTGTACACCTAGGTGAGCATAGAGAAACACACATGTGAAACAACAGCAAGGAGAAGCTGTGTTACTCCGAATCCATCCAGAGTGGGAGGTTTCTACTACTGTAAAAGTAACACCCATACATCCCTTAAGGGGAACTCTGTGTCGGAGCCTAAATTGCTGTGATCCTGGACCTGCCTGATCTAAAGAGGGATACTCTTCCAAGGGCTGAACCAGATGTACACTTCCAGTGACACCAGGGAATAATATTCATACACTGCACTGTATCAAGTGTAGTTCCGGTGAGTGGGCATTTCTTCCAGTCCTTATTGAGGAACATCCACTGATCGGGAATTACTGAGGACTATTAATTTAAGCGCTGCACTATTTCTTTGATACTATTTATTGAGGTTTTACTGGTTGCCTTGAGTGTACAGCTGCTGAACTGATTAGCTCTCACTTTTTTACTCTGTTTACCAATATGTGAGTACTAACTGATCTCTCAGTGGCAAGAATTTTACAAGCTTAGTGATGATGTTAAAGGGTGTGAAAAAAGACGTTTGTCTGAAAAAAGTAAAAGAAAAAAGTAATGCTCTATAGAGGTAAAGTGTGACATTGTCTGGTTAATCTTCATTCAGAAAGTGCCTTTGTACAGCTCAGGTGAATTTGTTATAAAAAATACAAAAACACAATGTACTGCTTCTTTTCTGGGGTGCAGGTGACTTGCACTGTGGTGGACCCTGCATTACCAGCCAAGAATTAGGATCTGTGGGCAGAGGTTAAGTCTAGGTTCACGTTACTGTAATGCAATTATGACTTGATTTTCAGTGTGATTATGTAGTGTGACTCTGATGCAACTTTGGTTGTGCTTTGCATGTGGTCTGCATATGGGATTGCAAGCAGCTACAGTATGTATTTGAAATGGAAATGCAATAGATACACGTCTAAATTTTGTTTGGAAAATATTGGCCGTGACCTTTTATTATTGGTTTTCAAATGTTTAAATATTCAACGAATAGCTTATAAACTTGAATCCATTAAAAGAATCACTCAATAACCACAAAGCACCTCAGCTATTACAGCTCAAGCCATATTTAAAAGCAAGCATAACAGTTTAACATTAACTGTCTCCCTTTGCATAAAAAGGTGACCCTCCACATAAAAAAGTTTGCAATAAGGAAGGATGGAGAGACCCTTTTATATAGGGACCCCAAATGGCTCTATAATTTCCTTTAGGGTCAGGTGGCAGGTTATAAAACCCTCCAATCTTAATAGATAAAAGGTTCCCAATGCAGGTGCAGTGGGAGGCCCTTAAACTGCTGTCGCATCTGAAATTGCATCAGTTTGAACCAGGCCTAAAAGAAGACAGAAAACCAAAGGATGATGAAATGGGTGAAATACACTAGTAACTAAGTAAACAAAAATTGACAGCAAATATTTCAAGTAGGTGAAAAAAAAAAAGAGTGAATAGAATATGAGTCTAGAGTTTACTACATACATGGCAAATTCTAGGACTACCAAATGACCAGTTGGCGTCAGAGAGATAGGAGCTGTAAGGAAGTGGGAGATCTATTACATCCATAGTGCCTGGCTTCACATACCAGTCTCATGGCTCATTTTGGATAGGAGAAGAGTAAGGATGTGAGGATTTGCTGACATTCTGGCGTACTGAATGACATCATGGCCCAAGGCATCTGTTAGTGTCAGGTTGGCTCCCCTATGCACCAAAAGATCCACCATATTCAACTGTCCTGCTTCACATGCCAACATCAGAGGAGACCTGGAAGAGGAACAATGAGAACATCAGGCCAACACAGTTCAAGAACTGATCATCACACCTACTGAACCCTGGTGTGGCCCTGACAAATTCCTACAGATTGCTGCAAAACAAAACATATCTGAAGCGTATATCCAGCCAACGGTTTGATGGAGTGGAGGACTATTAGAACCCGTCTGGTTTTTACTGCTATCCAGGTGTTCATTAGGAAGCTTGTTTCCTGTCCTAGAGACAATGGTTTTACGGGACAGGAAGTGAGGAGAACCCTCTCCAGTTTTTCCTTAGTAGTACAGAAAAAATTAAAACCCTTTAAGTTATTATCGCTGTCTTTGTCCCTGTTGAAGATTTTCTCTAATTGTATTTGGTAAAGTGTTCTCTCATTTTGGTCATACTGTCAGAAGAGGGAGTTCACTGGAGAAGGAAATAATGTGTGGGAAGATCGAAGGAACCAGGCGAAGAGGGAAACTGGCTACAAGGGGGTTGGACACATTGGGGTTGATTTACTAAAACTGGAGAGTGCAAAATCTGGTGCAGCTGCACATGGTAGCCAATCAGCTTCTAGCTTCAGCTTGTTCAATTAAGCTTTGGCAAAAAAAAACCTGGAAGCTGATTGGTTTCTATGCAGAGCTGCACCAGATTTTGCACTTTCCAGCTTTAGTAAATGTCCCCCATTGACTACAGCTGTGTGGATGACAATGGAAGAACTTGGCAGACCAGCACAAAATCTATTTCTCTTTAGATCTCTCATTCGTCTAGGACTTGGACACCTCATTTGACAGCACTTAAAATGTTGCCACCAGGACAGGAAGTTAGAACAAAGTTCACTAACAGAGTCTTGGATAGCGGTTAAAACCAGACAGAAGCAGTAATCCTTCCCCCAACTCCATCTAAAACTAGAAAAAAAAAATGTTTTGGCTTGACATACACTTTAAATTAATTCCACTCTAATTCCACAGTACACCCTTAGGTTTGGAGAAGGCGGCATGCTGCAAAGACAGGGACATAAACACAGGGGGGTATTTACAAAAACTGGAGAGAGCAAAATCTGGTGCTTCGAAACCAATTAGCTTCCAGGTTTTATTGTCAATCCTTTAAGTGATTGTAAAGGCTGAAGGTTTTTGACCTTCAGGCATTTTATGTATGAAGGTAAAAAAAAACCTTCTGTGTGCTGCTTCCCACACAGCCCCCTTAATACTCACCTGAGCTCCCTCTCAATCCAGCGCTGTTCACGGGAGCCTCCGCTGTGTCGAGACTCCCTATCCTCATTGGCTGAGTCAGCAGTGGAAGCCATTGGCTCCCACTGCTATCAATCACAGCCAATGAGGAGACAGTGGGAAGCAGGGCAGAGCCGTGGCTCTATGTGTCTTATGGATGTATAGAGCCAGGCTCAGAAGCAAGCACGCACAAGTGCCCCCATAGCTAGAGGCTTGCTACTGGGGGCACTGATCAAGGGAGGAAGCCAGGAGCAACCGGCGTGGTACCCAAGAAGAAGAGGATCGGGGCTGCTCTGTGCCAAACCACTACACAGAGCAGGTAAGTATGATGTGTTTGTTATTTTTAAATTTAAAAAGCAGAACCTTTAATACCACTTTAATTGAACAAGCTGAAGTTAGAAGCCGATTCCAGATTCCGTGTGTCCCCCGTTTTTTTAAATCTACCCCATAGTGTCTGTGCGGGTCCGATTCCTAAACACGTCAGTGCAAATGTGATGGATGGATTGACACGCAGTCCAACTGTGTCCTGATCTGTGCATCGGACCTGCACAGGGGGTGGACTCGGTGATGCCCCAGGTGATCCATGCTGGTCCATGCAGCCAGCCACCTGTCCCTGATTTCAAGAGGCTGCTTGCATGCCCCTGAATGGAACACCGTTGCATCCCTGGTGCCTGAAGCTAGTCCTTTGCACAGGCGTACGTATTGGTACGGCGGTGTGAATTAGGCCTAAAGCAAAGTCAAAATATAAACTTTTCAATAAAAACAAAATGCTTTTAATGGCCTCCATTTACCTGACCTATGCTATTGTACAGGACTCATTTGCAAAGACATGGAGGACTTTAGGACTGACATTGGTCAACATTTCCTTTACACTGGGACATTAACCTCCTTGGCGGTATTCCCGAGTGTAGCTCGGGGTAACATTTCAGTACCAAAAGCGGTAACCCCGAGCTACACTCGGGAATACCATGCGGCGCTGCTCCGGCATGTGTTCTTCACTTACCTTACCCTGCGCTCCCACGATGTGTCCCCTGCAGCGTCCCCGGCCATCTCCTCCGGCCGATGCCGGCATCCGGCTTCTGTGCCCTGTCCCTGTGACGTCGGGACGTACGGGGCCGCCGCCGGCGGCGGGAAATTTAAAAATTTTAAAAAATGTCATTTTTTTTTTTTTTTTCATTTTACACAGTAAAACATTGCTGTTTCAACCTATTTCACATACATATTGTCCCTAGTGCTTTGTCCTGTACCCTGCCTGCATTTTGTCTGTTCTTTCTGCCTGTAAACTGAGAAATGTCCATGGCGTCCAAAAAGTGTCCCTTTAGGTCAAAAGCGGTTTAGATCAGCTAGAGAACAGCGATAGTAAATCAGAACCACTTACAGAATTGAGTGATAATGATTCGTGGGGGAAATTCGTCATCAGAAACTGAAAACGATTTTGCGACTGAGCTCAGCAATGTGCGAACTTGGCGCTCTATTTCACATTTCAGTGTTTTTGGTTTGATTATATTATTGAATTAAATTTTTTATTATTTTTATATTATTTTTATGATTATTTATTAAATTATAATTTATGATTTTGTGTTTCAAATTTTATCATACCCGGGATGTTTACTAGACTCTTGTTCGGACAGATTTCAGTGAGTTTTTCCTAAAAATTACAGCCTACAATAAAAAAAATACATATTTCCATGCAAAAAAATGGTACCGCTTTCAGCACCAAAAATCTGAAATAATCATACCGTTAGGGAGGTTAATGTAAAAGACACCATATTAATTGATATGTTTTATTACTACAGTACTCTTCAACGTGACACCCGTGGTTCTTGCATGCCAAGTGATCTCATCCTACATATGGGGGGGGAACTCATTCTCCAAAAAAACACAGCAAAGCATTCTCAGTTTGATCATTTTTTGTGGTATGTAAAACTTGTAAAGTTGGTTTTCCAATTCTTGGATTAGAAATAATATGCAAAAAAGTGTAACTATTGAAAATTGTAGATAAATATTTTTTTAGGATCATCCAGACCTGGAGTTATGGCCCTACTGAGGTGTTATCTATGCACATCCTGACTTTTTAATATACGCCTACATGTTACACAACTCTTTTTATATCAACTAAAGATCTACAGCGTGGTGCTGAAAGCATAAATGCAATGATTAGTCTTTATTTTACTGCTATGCCAATTAGTGTCTATGTGCTGACATATACATAGATTACTAGAGGAACTACTTCTCCAGTGTGAAATGTACTGAACGATGGTATAGGAGATCTGTCATACACCTGTATGATTAACCTTCGATGGAAGCAGTCATTCCTGGACCCGTGTGCAGTCACACCTGTAACATGATTTTATCACCTGTTGATCCTGCCAGTGGATCCATTCTCTTTCAACTTAGCCCTGGTTCACACTGATGCGACTTGTCATGCGTTTTGACAGTTTCAAATTGCATGACAAGTTGCACCCTATTCTCTGCACCGATTTTGAAAGTAGTTCTTGCACTACTTTTTGCGATTTCAACTGCGACTTGCACAGACATCTGTTCATGAAGTCGCACAGATGTCTGCCAAATCGCACCTGAAGTCGTGCTGACATGCAACTCTTTCAGTATGAACCAGGGCTTACTTTAATAGGGTGACAACGATGTTTATTCTGCAGTGAAATGGCACAGCAGAATTATTGTCATTTGGACAGGTTAGTCTTAGCTATCCTTGTAATTTTACATAAATTAGGCAAAAGACCTCAGAACTTCCCATGTGTGCTGTGTGCTTCTTATTGAAAGCTGCCATTGCTAGGCATTCTGTATCTGAAAAATCCTCTTTCCTATGATTCTGACTTTCAGGTGGCTACACTGCCTAGTAGAGTCCCGTGGAGCCCCTACATTTTTTTACTGGATGTTTTATAGCAAAAAGTCAAAAAAATATTGTTTTTTTTTTCTGATTGATGTGAATGTACAATATATATGTAAAGCACTGTGTAAATTGACAGCGCTATGTAAGTACCTGAAATAAATAAAGAAAAAAAAATGCAAAGGCGATCAAATGCCACCAAAAGAAAGCTCTATTTGTGGAAAAAAATGACCTAAACGTCCATTTATGTACAGCGTTGCATGACCGCGCAATTGTCAGTTAAAGTAAAGCAGAACTGTATATTAAAAAATGGCCTGGTCAGGGAGGGGGGTAAATCCTCTGGAGGGCAAGTGGTTAAGGTGCTGGCTCCAGCCGATGCACAGTGGTTAAGTATACCCAGAGAGTAATGTTCCCCTGTGTGTATGTAATGAGCCTCTGCATTCCTATGTTGCATGTAGATAAATGTTTCAATCTCAAAAATCCACATACTTATTTTCCTATTTTTATCCATATATGCCTGCTTGCCTGCCAATGCCATTTTCTATTTTTTTAAATGAGAATTTTAGGCAGGAACACGTTCACATTCTTTGGAGCGAGTTTACTCACGGATAAAGAATGCAAAAATTCAACCGTTTCATCAGCTAGGAAGATATATGAGACCGAACAATAAGTCATCTATTTTAAACAGCCATTAATCCTTCCAAAATAAAGTGCAGACTGCCCAACTCCAACACAATCCTTTAAAAACATACCTCAAGCTGAGCGATGAAATTCCTCCTCCATGAGACAATGTGTATCTGTAAACAGTGACTGCTCATTATCTGACCCTTATCAGGGAGATGAGAGGACATGCGATCCATGGGACTGCTCAGAATGCGATATAGGGATTTTTACGTAACCTGAACTGTCGCCTACACATTTGCAGGCGTACCTCGGTTTACGAATTCAATTCTGCGGGACTTTTCGTATTGCGAGAAATTCGTAATAGAATAAGCGGTGTCCCATAGGTATGCAATGAAAACCAATTAATCCCTTCCGGAGGTCCTGAAAAAAGAAGTCTTTTACCTGTTCAAATCTCTTTATAAAGTGCACTTTAAAGGCATAGTACTGTACAGGGACATGATAAAAAATAAAATTTGCAAATGCATTGAAAACCAATTAATCCGTTCCAGAGGTCAGAAAAAAGTAAAAAAAAAAAAAAAAAAGTCTTATCAGTTCAAAACTCTTTTTATAAAGTGCACTTTAAAGGCATAGTACTGTACAGGGACATGATTAAAAAAATTTTGTAAATGCCTTAAAAAACCAATTAATCTGTTCATATTGCGAAAAAAAATTTGTAACCGAGGCAATATTTTCAATGGATATTTATTCCTAAATTGAAAAAATTACGTTAACCGAGGCGTTCGTAAACTGAGGTACACCTGTATTGGGAATCTAAAGGACAGAGGTCCTGCCACCAGACCATTCATTTCAAAAACAATCGTATTTGTACATTTCATGTATTTTTGTGCCATTTTTTTTACATATAAAAGCCTTCCATGTGTATACACTCAGCAGTCCTGAAATGGCTGCTGGGTGCCCCCATCTGGGATGTGATGTCAGCAGCCCCAGCAGACTCTGAGCTGTCATTAAACACTTGCCCCCCGCTAAGAGAACATTTACTGCTAGCGGGCGGCACAGACAGGCACTGCGACCTACAAGTACATTTTCAGGAAGGGAGAATGTTACCAGCACACCGAGGATCAATAATATAGGTCCAAACGTTTTTTTAAACGTTTCGGAGGCTCGCAGGACCCCTTCATCAGGCATGTGCCCATGTGTTCAGGGGTCACATGACTGATGAAGGGGCCCTGTGAGACTCCGAAACGTTGCCTTGCTGTAATTATGTGAGCGTTCATTAAAACTTTTGGACCCATATTGGTGATCCTCGGTGTGCTGGTGACATTCTCCCATGCTGATTCTGTTCAGTTCCAGCCAACGGTTGCTGCAGCACTCACTTATACATACAGCCATTTTTAACGCAGGAACGTGTGCGTCTGGATTGTACACTTGCGTATTTTCAGGTACACGTGTATACCATCTGAAACACCCAGAACACCGAATACCAAACACAGAAGAGCGATCTGTGTCTTCTCCCTGAAATCAACACTGAGTTCAGGGAGAAAAGACAGCCAGATCCTGTTAGTAAAAGCAGCACACATACCCTTTTCAGGCACACAGTTAAAGTGGTTATAAGGCTAGGTTCACACCTATGCAGTTTGAGTTTGATCCATTTCTGCAGTGCATTCTGCGTTTTTGCACATGCGTTTTTGACACGTTTTTGATGCGTTTTGTGTGGTTTTTTTTTTTTTTTTTTTGTTTCTTCAACTTGTTGCTGGACAGATTAAAAGGCAAAACGCCTCAAAAACACGCTACATGCTTTTCTGGAGCTTCTCCATTGAAGTCTATAGAACCAAAAATACAAAGTTTTGCATTTAAAAAAGTCCCTGACCCTTTCCAAAAAACGCACCGGGTGAAAACGCGGAGATGTGAACCTGTCCCATAGGAAATCATGTTAAATGGACTGCTGTGCGTTTCTGCAAAACGCTGCGGAAACCGCTTACGTGTGAACCTGGGGTAAGACAGTGTCACCGGAACACTTTACATTCTAATATGTGTATGTATGAATGTAAGTTAGGGACCTTAGATTGTACACCCCTTGAGGGTTAGGGACTGATGTGAATGTACAATATATATGTAAAGTGCTGCATAAATTGACGGGCGCTATATAAGTACCTGAAATAAGTAAATAACTGTCATGGCCAGAGAAGGATCTCTCCAGCCTGCTACAGACGGCACTGTATAGTCATTATAGAATATAGAACATTCTTCCAACACGCAGAATGAAGATTTACTTACTTTCCATTCTTGTCTGGAATGTTCACATCCGCTTTATGATCCAGGAGACACTTGCAGGCTTCTAGGTGGCCGTGCTGCACTGAGATCAGCAGAGGAGTGTTCCCATCCTGTAAGATGAATAGAAGATTCAAGTGTATGAACCCAAACATTATTATTATTATACAGGATTTATTATGTGCCAGCAGTTTGCTCAGCGCTTTACAATAATAAAGGGAGACAATACAGCAACAATACAGTTCCATACAAGAGGGTTAGGAAGGCTCTGCTCCTTGGAGCTTACAATCTAGGAGACATACATGTCCTATACTGCAACCTACCAATCCTTACAGGTGGTGGCTGAATTAGTTTTCCTATTTTAATTGTTTCCCCCCTCTATTTTCACCTGGTGATCCCTCCAGTAAGGCCCTTTTCACATGGGTGGAGAGCTTTATTGCTCCTCTGAAAAGCAATCCTTGGTGGATCGTTTTTCAGAGGCAGCTGAGTAGCAGTTTGCAGGTGTTCAAGAAGCAATACTACCATCTGGTCCTAGGGGATTTTAATGTTGAAATACCAATCCACAACCACATTGCCAATGTTTGGCACAGTGCAGTCCCAGTGACTTCATTGGGCATGTTTGGCAAGTGGGACCACCTACCAAATGCAACATGCCAAGTTAAATTCGGAACACAAATCATGTGAACGGACCCGAATAGCTGCATGTTAATTTGAAGGCAGGCAATCAGGAAGGGGTAAAAATACAAATTATTATTATTATACAGGATTTATATAGCGCCAACAGTTTGCTCAGCGCTTTACAATATAATGGGAGACAATACAGCAACAATACAGTTCAATACAAGAGGGATAGGAGGGCCTGCTCCTTGGAGCTTACAATCTAGGAGATCAACCACTTGTTTTTACTGCCCCTTTGTTACCTGTTTGAACTAAGCATAACCGAATTCCTGTTCTAGGGTGGTAATGTTTAGTCCGTTACTGTACCGGTGGAGGAGGTGAGTTATCACCCTAGGGCAAAGAGTGTTGCAAATACAGAGTATCTCCTGTTTCCTCATGTGCATAACATAGTGGGGAGGTGTTCTGTAGTCCACGTAGCTGTAAACAATGCAACTTCTAACACCCATAACAGGCAGAGTGTACGGAAAATTATCAGCTCACTAGATTTCTGGCAGGATCGTTGCTAGGATCTACACATATGATATGATATGTTTTGAGGAAGAACCCCAATTACATAACCAATGACAAGCACAAGCATCAAATAACCTTTATGAAATATAATAGAATTTTGTTCACCGACAGCAATGTGAAGCCCATATCCCTGGAGCCTAACACGTTACATTTCACTGCCATCACCGCAAATGCAGGGTGGGATCAGGGGGTTATATTTTTAACTTTCACTGCCACTGACACCAATGTTGGGGGTTATCACTGCATCCACTGACACGAATGCTGTGGGCTATTATTGCATCCACTGACACCAATGCTGTGGGCTATTATTGCATCCACTGACACCAATGCTGTGGGCTATTACTGCATCCACTGACACCAATGTTTAGAGTCAATATTGCATTCATTGACACCAATACTAGGGGTTATCACTGTGCCACTGACACCAATTTTGGGAGTTATTACTGCATCCACTGACACCAATGCTGGGGGTTATCACTATGTCTACTGAAACCAATGCTGGAGATTATTATCACATCCACTGACACCAATATGGGTGGAGTTATTATTGTGTCCACTGGCATCAATGATGGGGGTTACCACTATGTCCACTAACACCAATGCTGGAGGCTATTATTACATACACTGACACCAATGCAAGGTGTTATTATTGCATACAGCTAAACCAATGTTGGGAGTTATTATTGCATTCACTGACACCAATACTGGGGGTTATCAGTGTGTACACTGGCACCAATGTTGGGATTTATTACTGCATCTACTGACACCAATACTGGGAATTATTATCGCATTCACTGACACCAATGCTGGAGGTTATTATCGCATCCACTGACACCAATGCTGGAGGTTATTATCGCATCCACTGACACCAATGCTGGAGGTTATTATCGCATCCACTGACACCAATGCTGGAGGTTATTATCGCATCCACTGACACCAATGCTGGAGGTTATTATCGCATCCACTGACACCAATGCTGGAGGTTTTTATCGCATCCACTGACACCAATGCTGGAGGTTATTATCGCATCCACTGACACCAATGCTGGAGGTTATTATCGCATCCACTGACACCAATGCTTGAGGTTATTATCATATCCACTGACACCAATGCTGGAGGTTATTATCACATCCACTGACACCAATGCTGGGGGTTATTATCGCATCCACTGACACCAATGCTGAAGGTTATTATCGCATCCACTGACACCAATGCTGGAGGTTATTATCATATCCACTGACACCAATGATGGAGGTTATTATCACATCCACTGACACCAATGCTGGTGGTTAATATCGCATCCACTGACACCAATGCTGGAGGTTATTATTGCATCCACTGACACCAATGCTGGAGGTTATTATCGCGTCCACTGATACCAATGCTGGGGGTTATTATCGCATCCACTGACACCAATGCTGGAGGTTATTATTGCATCCACTGACACCAATGCTGGAGGTTATTATCGCGTCCACTGACACCAATGCTGGGGGTTATTATCGCATCCACTGACACCAATGCAGGAGTTTATTATTACATCCATTGACACCAATGCTGGAGGTTATTATCGCATCCACTGACACCAATGCTGGGGTTATTGTACTCTAAATTTTTCATTATGCAAGAAATGCAGAAAGGCCAAAACTCTATAGCACTGAGGTGCAAACATGCTCTGCTATTGTGAGGTTGCATTAGAGGTTCTCTAAAATGTTTAAGTTGACCACCACTGGCCTACATAGACACCTATGTCACCCTTATCCTGGTGTACCCCGTCTTTGATTTCACGGCTGGTTTATGCATATTAGTTATTAGGTAGATTGTACATTGTAACCTTCACTAAAAGCCTATATTTAATGGAATCCTAAATGACACCATGAAGAGTACGTCTGGCACTGGTGAGAAGACAAAAGCTGAACTGGCAGCCGGTCATTATCCTGATGAGTAGGATAAGTCCTATCTTACACAGCACAAAGAGGAGGATAAGAGGACAGGAAAGGAGATAGCAGAGCGGATAATACTGGAGAGGAGGCCAGGATGCCAGCCTGAGATTCCAAGCTTCTTATCTAATTATGGAATAACTCCGCTGACGAAGCAAAGCCGTATAAGAAGCCACCCAGGGCTGCCAAAGGGTGACCAGATGTCTCTAATTTCTAAGAGGGTTCCTGTTGTTACATGGCTGTCTCCAGCTAAATATGGCCCCAATTGTGCTTCTGGGAACAAAGAAGTCTCATTATGGATAGAAAATGTAGTGAGATTGTAGCGTGTCTTTTCATTGTTACCTTTTGAAGACAACCTAAAACTTTCTTGGCATTTTAACGTGTGCTAAATCCAAATACATTGCTAACAGCATGCGGAAGCTGAAAGCTTGCAGTGCCCCCCACTCCTGAAATGCAAGGGTTTAAATTCTCATTAATGTGTCACTAACCTCCAGTTTAAAAAAAATTATATTCATGTATGTATTCCTACCACTGCCAGAATACAATGACACAGCAGGGAGGTTTCCCCCATCCATCTTGCTTGTGTGGATGGGGGAATCCAGGGCTTTTTTCAGCGGAAACGAGAGGGAACGCAGTTCTGGTACCTCCAGCACTGAATGTATATACAGTAATGGCAAGGGGTGCTGGGGTGTGCTGGAGGGTCTAGTGATGCTGTCTGCTGGGGGATCTATATTTGCATGGTGAACTATTGTTGCTAGGTAGGTCTATTGTTGTTGGTAGGGATATATTATTGCTGTAAGGGATCTACTGTTGATGGGGGGTCTATTGTTGCTGGGTAGGTCTATTGTTGCTGGTAGGGATATATTATTGGTGGAAGAGATCTACTGTTGATGGGGGGTCGATTGTTGCAGGGTATGTCTGTTGTTGCTGGTGGGGGATATATTATTGTTGGAATGGATCTACTGTTGAATGGGGTTTATTTTTGCTGGCTGCTGGAGAGTCTATTGATGTTGGCTGCTGTGAGATCTATTATTACTGCTGGGGGTATATTGTTGCTGGGTAGGTCTATTGTTGCCGGTGGGGATATATTATTGCTGGAAGGGATCTACTGTTGATGGGGGTCTATTTTTGCTGGGTAGGTCTGTTGTTGCTGGTGGGGGATATATTATTGCTGGAACGGATCTACTGTTGAGGGGGGGGGGGATGTTTTTGTTGGCTGCTGGGAGATCTGTTATTACTGCTGGGGGTCTATTGTTGGTGGGGTGGAATTTTTATGTTTTGGGGGGCCTATTGCTGCTGGCTACAGGGGATCTATTTTACTGCTTTTCTTGTTATCATTAACAAATTCCATACAAATTCCACAAAATGATACTTGGCCATGTATTCTCTATAAAGGGATAGTACTGGGAGGTGGGTAGGGGGAGGAACCAAGGGACGGTGCTCAGAGGTGGGTAGGGGGAGGAACCAAGGGACGGTGCTCAGAGGTGGGTAGGGGGAGGAACCAAGGGACGGTGCTCAGAGGTGGGTAGGGGGAGGAACCAAGGGACGGTGCTCAGTGGTGGGTAGAGGGGAGGATACAAGAAGTGATTTCGAATGGAGGAGTTCCTGCATCTATTCTCTGAGAAAAAAAAGCCCTTGGGGAATCCATTCAGTTGTTTTCGATCAACTGGTTGGCTGACCGAATAAAAATCGCTGATCCATCTCTGGGCAGCTTTAGTCTTTTTGGTGCTAGCTACACAAATGTGGCCTAATAAAGCGGCTGATGTCCACGGCAAACCAACAATTCGTAGCTGCAGTACCGTTTCCATTTTTAAATGCGTTTTAGTGCCTTAGGTGGCCCATAGAGTTCAATGGCATGGAACATGAATTTTGATGTGTTGCCAACAACAATGGCTGCTAACCCTATTCACTCTGAATTCTAAATTCAAAAATGCAGGTTGAAGCATGACACCACACATACAAGGTGGTATCAAGACGTTTCAAGACTAGTTTTGTAACACGCCAACAGATGGCAGCACAAGGCTGCACGCACAGGGAGCACCGACCTCCAAAAGTCAGTGTGCTAAAAGACATCATCCTGTGTACATCGGGAGCTGTGCAACTGGTGCTAATCTGGCCACATGCGTTACCACATCTGCTATTTCATCATGGACAGCAAGTTACAACAAAGAGCAAGTGTGAATTTGAGAGTGAAAACTGTACATGAAGGATGGGTCATCCACGCACGCCGACAGAGTTCTGACAGACTTCAATGCGGTGCGGAGTCAGCAGCCTGGGGACGAACTTGGTGCATGTTCAAATCACACATGAGGATTGCCTGGATTGTTCCGTATGACACACCGACAATGGCAGCAATTTTGTGGATTGTTCTCATCATTTCACGTTTGCTCTTTGTTTTAACTTGCTGTCCATGATGAAATAGCAGATGTGGTAATAAATGTGGTCAGAACAGCACCGGTTGTACAGCTCCCAGTGTACACAGGATGATGTCTTTTGGCACACTGACTTATGAAGTTTGGTGCTCCCTGTGACTGTACGTGCAGCCTTGTGCTGCCATCTGTTGGTGTGTTACAAAGCTAGACTCGAATATTTTTGATACCGCCTCATACCTATCACTACAAATAAATGCACCTCTATACACGTACATAGATCTACATGGGCCCTAAAAATTTCTGTAGCTGCTACAAAATTGCTGGTGTGCCATTCAACTTTCTTTGCCTCAGCTCCCATAAAAAAGTGTCCTGCAACTTCCCAGCATGCACTGCTACTCTCCTGAGGCTGCTGTGAATCGCACACCACTGTATACTGCAGGACTGTCAGTCTGAATCAGGATAGGGAAACTCAAAAAAAAAAACGTCTTCTTACTCTACAGATGTGTACAGATCACCCATGATGACCACAGAATTGGAAAAAGTCGTTGGTGCTCGATGACAGAAAGCAGAGAATCATGAAAGTAATGAAGAATGCAAAGCAATTATGTCCCAGATGTCACAAAAGTGAAGACACATGAAATCAAATCCGGTATTTAGAAAACTTTCCTGCAGATTTAGGGCAGAATAGACAGCAGAAATATTCCACATTAACATTAAAACCCGGCTTAAGTCAGTTTAGTTTGGAACCAGTTTGGCAATGCAGACGTGCGGGCCATGTGTGATAATCTCCAGTGCACGTGCTCCAACATTGCTTTCAGTACTTTCAGCTAAATCTATTACCAAATAACTAATCCCATTGTATACAAAGCCGGCTGTATTATATAATAAGCAGAGTGTAACCGGAGCCCTGCGCATGGCGATCGATGACACGCTCAAGTGGAAGATCCACAGCGACTGCTGTATGCTGGTTACTGCATCAGAAACATAGAAAACATCCCACTGGTCCTACCTCCTTGTAAAGAAAACTCAAAGTGTTATGCAGGCCATAGACGGTTCGTTTATGGGCCGATTTTTCATCCGAAAAACGAAACATCGGTCGTTCTGCTGCCACCAATGATTGCGAAAATTGGCCGTTTTGCGCACATTTTCCAGCATGGCTGATAAAAGAAATGAGGAGGAACTGCGAAAAATTAGCAGATGACATTGGCCCACTAACAGTGCGAAAATCGGCCGATTATTCTTTCGGACGGAAAATCGGACGATAAACGAACCGTCTATGGCCTGCATTAGTCCTCACATACGCACTGGACTTTTTTAAAGTGGCTGTTTTTGGCTTTTTGGTGTTTTTTTTTCTACAGCCAGTAAACTCCACAGCATGTTATCCTATGTGCCCATGCACATATAGGCTTTAACCACTTCCCGACCGCCCTATAGCCGAAACACTGCTACAGGGCGGCAAGGGGTGTGCAAAATCACGTGTATATATATATATATATATATATATATATATATATATACGTGATTTTGCATTTCCAGGTAGGGGGCTCTCACCTGTCGATCACCAATCTTGGCCTTTGATTCCTCACCAACACCTGGCGATCACCGAGTATTGTAAAAGGTAATAAATAGTAATAAATAGCGTTATCCAGGGTTCAGATAAGCTGCTAGAACACCAAAAAGGCAACCAAGAACAGACCTTCCAATCAATAAATAAAGGTGCAGCGCTAGATATGTATAAAAAATTTGACAAAATGGAATAAAAACATAAAACATAGAATGTATGGTAGCAATATAATCAAGTGCAAAAATAGTGCAAAATTGTCAATCACACTGTGGTGAAATTAAGTGGATAAATGTCCCAAATAGCTGAAAAATTGCCCACGTGGGGATCCAATAGATCCTAATAGAGTGCGTGGGGGCGAGAGTCCAGTGTGCCACACAGTGGATATAATATGAAGAATGCGCACTCACCAGAAGTGCGTCAAACATGCGCATGTGAGATTTTCCTGTCTCATCAGGTATTGGTCATCTACTGCTAAAACAGGGTCAGGATCATACACCATCCAATCTCCTCTAGGATAGGTACTCCAAAAGCCTTATTACATGTCACCGTCAAGGGTCCCTTTAAGCAGGTTCTGTAAGTGGGAACTCTCAGTGAAGAGAGCCCAATAAGGAACACCACATAGCGTAATACCGTAGACACTGAGTTTATTGCTTAAGGAGTAACAGATCAATATACAGGAAAGTGGTGAAGATAAAAACACTGACCATATGTGATTCAGGATGGCCACCAGCGGTGGTCAGACATCCAATAACTGTAGCGTCACCCCCGACGCGTTTCGTGCGATGCACATCATCATCATAGGGTGCTGGGCTTACAGGAGATCACCGAGTATCAACAACGGGGGAGAGACCTGTATGTAAACAACACAGATCTCTCCCCTGTCAGCTCCGGCACTTTGCTTTGTATGGCTCTGCAGAGCCATACAAAGCAGTGTGCTTACAGTGTAAAGAACTCACACAGCACACATAGTAAAACAGCCAACAGTTAACCCTTTGATCGCCCCACATGTTAACCCTTTCCTGCCCAGTGCCATTAGTACAGTGTCAGTGCTTTTTATTAGCACTGATCACTCTGTTGATGTCACTGGGGATGTCAATGCCAATTAGTCAGTCCCCCCCCAGTGTCAGAATGTCTGCCACAGTCCCGCAATAAGTTGCTGATCGCTGCCATTACTAGTATATGTATAAAAAAAATATTCCAGTATCTATACTGCCATTTGTAGGCGCTATAACTTTCACATAAACCAATTTACACATATTTGGAATTTTTTTTTTTAGCAAAGACATGTAGCAGAATACATTTTGGCCTACATTTATGACGAAATTAGATTTTTTTTATTTTTTGACTGGACATGTTTAATAGCATTTCTAAAAATTTTCATTCTTTTTTTTTTTGTAGCGCAAAACATAAAAACTGCACAGGCGACCAAATACCAAAAGAAAGCTCTATTTGTGTGAAAAAAGGACATACATTTACTTTGGGTGCAGTGTTGCATTGTCAGTTAAAGTAACGCAGCGCCATATCGTAAAAGATGGCCTGGTCAGGAAGGGTAAATGCTCTGGAGGGTAAGGGGTTAATTAGCGGTTCTTGGCACGGACGTCTTTTGACTGGAAACAAAACCCAGAACTAGTCGGTTTCTAGAGAATTTTTAGCTGTAAAAACATTCTAATGCTGGTAAACCCGGAAAAATGAGGCAAACCGTTGTTTTAAGACCTTTTTTTGAGCAAAAATTAATTTTTTTGGTTTAAAAACCGCTAAAAAATGCAAACGCAGAAAAAAACACATAAAAAACGCGAAAAAACCGCGGCTAAACACTAATGCAGAAACGCTAAAAAACTCATGGTTTTAATTCAAGTTTACAAAGCTATCGTTACCAGCGTTATTAACACGCCCAGTGTGCATGGAGCCTAAAACTCTCGAATTGATGTGTGTACGCAGCAGCTGCTGGTCTCGGGAAAGATTTTATGGAGGCTCTGGACGCTGTCCAGCCACCTTACAACCGTGAGCATGTGACCTTAACTTTAGTGTGTGCTAAAGGTTCACTTTAAATTGTATCTAAACCCAAGAACAAAATGAAATATATCTAAATCTGAGAACAAAAATGTAATATATTGCAGCTTAACAGTCCTTAAATGTGGTGGCTGCATTTTGTTTTCTTTTATTTAAAGGGCCAGTTCATTTTTCCTGCATTTTCTCATAAAACCTCCTATGAGTGCCAGGATGCTCAGCTCATTATTATTATTATACAGTATTTATATAGCGCCAACAGTTCGCTCAGCGCTGTACATTATAATGGGAGACAGTACACAAGACAGTACAGTAACAATACAGTGCAATACACGAGGGGTTCGAGGGCCCTGCTCCTTGGAGCTTACAATCTAGGAGGGAGAGGATAGTGGTACAGGAGGAAATAGCTGTGGGGGATGGAGTGGTAGGAAGAGTGGAGGCGGGGTAGGCTTCCCTGAAGAGGTGGGTGATCAGGGTGCGCCTAAAGGTGAGGAGGGTAGGCGACAGTCTGATGGATTGGGGTAGTGAGTTCCAGAGGATGGGGGAAGCTCTGGAGAAGTCCTGGAGTCGGGCATGGGAGGAGTAGACCAGGGAACTAGAGAGTAGGAGGTCTTGTGAGCAGCGGAGAGGCCCAGACGCCGGGAGGCCGCACATTTGTGTGCGGTCGGCGTGAAGAGGTTAATCAGAGAGCTTTCGTCCCTCTCACCATAATTGGTCTGCTTTTATCAGAAGGAAGCAATGCCAGCCTTTTTCATGGGATTCAAATTTAGGATGAAATTCAGCCTACAAAGTGCAAATGTAATGTACTTTTAGTAAATAAATTATTCTTACCGAATCTTTGACGTTCAGAAGACATTTGTTGTCACACAAGAGTTGCAGCATTGGGAGGTTGCCGTAAGCAGCTGGTGAAAAAAAAAAAATGTTGTAGTCAGCAATCTATGCACTACATTATTATTATTATAATACAGGATTTATATCGCGCCAACAGTTTGCTCAGCGCTTTACACAATAATCACATGTAGTGATAGCCCTATACTGACTTCTTACACATTATTTTTGCTCCACTATCTGCTCATATGGTGTTCCTCATTTGGTGGTCTTATAATGATGATACAGGATTTATATAGTGCTAACGATTTATGCAGTATTTTACAATAAAAAAGGGAAACCGTAGAGTTGCAATACAACTGAATACAAGAGGGTTAGGAGGACCCTGCCCGTGTAGATACACTCTAAAGCTGGCCATACACATGTAGATTTTCGGCCAAGAATATAGGTAAGAAAAGTCGTACGAAAATTCTTTGCACATTCGATGGATGGATGAATGATGTTCAAAAATTGTCTTTTGCTTTTAATATTCGATTTTAAAATGAATGTAATGTCTGAACGATAACCACATAAACTGGACGAATATTCGTTTGATCGAGAAAAGTTTTCCTTCCTGTCCCTTTGAATTTTTCTGTCACTGCTGTCGAAAAAGAACATTGATTTGACCCCACTAACGATCAGAAAATCAAACGGATATTCTTGAAACAAATATTCTCGGCTGAAAATCTACACATGTATGGCCAGCCTTAAGGTCCTTTCACATGGGCGGACTCGAGTAGCGGATTTGCTTGCTCAGCGGGGGATCTCTCTGCTGATCCCCGCTGAGCAAGTGGATGACAGGTCTGTGTCCGCTCCACTGCTGCAGAGCAGACACAAAGCTGCTCACTCTCCTCAATGGGCAGTTGGATGAAAACGGACCGCCTGTTTGCTTCCATCCGACCCAATCTGACGGACGGAAGGGGAATTGGATCCCCATACGTCCCTTTTTTGCAAGTCGGATCAGACTGAATGTTGGCGGGTGTAAACGGTCCATTTACACCCGCCGCTCCATAGAGGAGAATGGAGGTTCCGATTGCGTCCACCTCAAAAACGGGCAGGCGGACCCGTTCGGAATGTCCATGTGAAAGAGCCCTTAGAGTCCTTTCACCCAGGCGTTCCGGTTTTTCCATCAGTTCAGTCACATTTTTTCAAAGAAAAAACAGATCAATTTTCATCAGTTCCTTGTCATTTTCTCGACAGTTTTTAACATCCTTTACCAATGCAAAAACAGATGCAAAAACAAACTGTATGTCCGTTTACATCCATTTTTTGTCCGTTCCGTTTTTTTTTATGGAAGAAAAATAGGGGTGTCTTCCGTTCACAAAAACAGATGTTAACAAATACGGACATGTACGGATGTCCGTATTTGATCATCCGATTAAATCCACTAATCCATAGAAATACATGGGGGTCTGTTTTTCATCTGTAAATGGACAGATGAAAAACTGACATACGGAGAGTCCATGTGAAAGGACCCTAAAAAGGAGGGGGGGCAAATTATACAAAAAAGAAATGACAATATTGGAGATTTACTAAAACTGGAGCACTCAGAATTTGGTACAGCTGTGCATGGTAGCCAATCAGCTTCTAACTTCAGCTTGTTCAATTAAACTTTGACAATAAAACCTGGAAGCTGATTGGTTTCTATGCAGAGCACCACCAGATTTTGCACTCTCCAGTTTTAGTAAATCTTCCCCATTGAGTTCATGACGAAAGAAAAGTTCAATTTTTAAAAGTGGTATAGGCTTTCTCGAAGAGATGAATTTTCAGGAATCAGCTAAAAGTACAAGATAGCTTGATAGATTGGATTAGAGAGCTCCAGAGGATGAGAGATGCTCTGAAGAAGTCCTGAATGCAAGAATGGGAGGAGGTGTAATGCAGCCTTTTTAGATACCAACAGGTTTTTTTTTTTTTAGTAACAAACTGGAGAGTGCAAAAAGCGGTGCAGCTCTGCACTGAATCCAATCAGCTTCCAGGTTTTGTTGTCAAAGCCTAATTGAAATTAGAATTTTAATGACAGCTGAAATTAGAAGTGGATTGGCTACCATGCACGGCTGCACCAGATTTTGCACTCTCCAGTTTTAGTAAATCTACCCCATAGTGTTTAGCATAGAATTCCCTTTGTGGCACATTCCTCAAGCTGGATTTACAAACTGCAATTGTTTTTAAAGCTAAATCTGAGTTAAACGCTGTCTAATCCCACGTGTTTTCTTACTGAAATCTGGTCTTTTGTCTATTTCTTTCAGTTCTGTTTAGTAATACAGCTTGAAATGATTCCTGTACTTTTGTAGGAGTTTTCTGTGGCAAAGACCGGTCACTGCTGCTCTCTCTTCTTGTGCAGGTTGACTGGTCTAGTATTCACCTCCTCTTTTAGTTTTCTGCAGGCAGCCTGTGGTGGGTGGGGCCTGCTGGGTCACTCCCACAGGTCTACTCTCTATACAAGCTATGTGCAGTACAGTGATGATGTCACTGCTACTTTTACAGGGTAATATCTAAGTTAGCATAGACATTTGGTGCACACAAAGTACACAAAGTGGGTTTATATCCTTCACGGCTACTAAGTATTGAACACATCACCATTTTTAAATATATTTCTAAAGGTGCTATTGACATGGTAGTGGCCGGTTTTATGGTGAAATTATGTTTTTTCCTCTTCTGGATTATGGCCCCAACAGTGCTCACTGGAACATTCAGAAGTTTAGAAATCCTTCTGTAACCAATGCCATCAGTATGTTTTGCAACAATAAGGTTGTGAAGGTCTTGAGAGAGCTCTTTGCTTTTACCCATCATGAGATGTTTGTGGGACACCTTGGCAATGAGACACCCTTTTATAGGCCATCAGTTGAGACTGAACCAGCTGATATTAATTTTCAATGACAAGAAGCAGGATTGCTTTGTAATTACTGATAGATTTCAGCTTGTTTCTTGGCTTTCCATGCCTTTTTGCACCTCCCTTTTTTCATGTGTTCAATACTTTTTCCCAGTGTCATTCCATTTTATTGCACATAACTTAATTTCTGAACTTATTTGTTTTGATTTCTTTGTATGTATGGATTGTGTGGGTTATTACCAACATGTGGTGAAAATTTCATGTCAATAGCACCTTTAGAAATATATTTACAGATGTGTTCAATACTTATTTTACCCGCTGTATATATTTAATACACAACTTCACTATTTTCTGTATTTTTTACTGCCCCATCACTTGTTCCAGCACTGCGCCCGTCTGTAGTGGTCTGTCCTCTCTCCCCACTCTCACAGGCTTTGCTGAGGCAGCAGAAGCCATTGGCTCCTGTTGCTGTCAGTCAAATCCAGTGCTTATTGGAACAGGGGGCGGGACAAAGCTTTGCGGTCCGTGTCTATGGACGCAGGAAGCATGGCTCAGGATTGCGCCAGTGTTCTGCTATGGGGGCATTTGCAGAAGAAGAGGTGCCAGGATGACCAGCAGAGAACCCCAGAAAAGGAAGTTTGGGGCTGCTCTATGCAATTCCATTACACACAGCAGGTAAGTATAATTTTTTTTTTCTTAAAAACAAGACTTTTCACTTTAATTTATCAATTGATCCATTTTGGCCAATGGCACCCAGAGCAACACAATTCAATAGCACCATTGTGCCTGGATTCAGCCTTTTTATCCGAAAAATTCCCGTAAAACATCATTAAAGTATTACTATGAGGGGATATGATCTCCATGTATAATACATAAGGGGGATATGATCTCCATGTATAATACATAAGGGGGGGGATATGATCACCATGTATAATACATAAGGGGGGATATGATCTCCATGTATAATACATAAGGGGGGATATGATCTCCATGTATAATACATAAGGGGGGGATATGATCACCATGTATAATACATAAGGGGGAGATGATCTCCATGTATAATACATAAGGGGGGATATGATCTCCATGTATAATACATAAGGGGGATATGATCTCCATGTATAATACATAAGGGGGATATGATCTCCATGTATAATACATAAGGGGGGATATGATCTCCATGTATAATACATAAGGGGGATATGATCTCCATGTATAATGCATAAGGAGGGGATATGATCTCCATGTATAATACATAAGGGGGGGATATGATCTCCATGTATAATACATAAGGGGGGATGATCTCCATGTATAATACATATAGGGGGTATATGATCTCCATGTATAATACATAAGGGGGGATATGATCTCCATGTATAATACATAAGGGGGGGATATGATCTCCATGTATAATACATAAGGGGGATATGATCTCCATGTATAATACATATAAGGGGTAGTATGATCTCCATGTATAATACATAAGGGGGGATATGATCTCCATGTATAATACATAAGGGGGGATATGATCTCGATGTATAATACATAAGGGGGGATATGATCACCATGTATAATACATAAGGGGGGATATGATCATCATGTATAATACATAAGGGGGGATATGATCTCCATGTATAATACATAAGGGGATATGATCTACATGTATAAATACATAAGGGGGGATATGATCTCCATGTATAATACACATAAGGGGGGATATGATCTCCATGTATAATACATAAGGGGGGATATGATCTACCATGTAATAATACATAGGGGGGATATGATCTCCATGTATAATACATAAGGGGGGATATGATCTCCATGTATAATACATAAGGGGGATATGATCTCCATGTATAATACATATCTCCATGTATAATACATAGGGGGGATATGATCTCCATGTATAATACATAAGTGGGGGGGATATGATCTACATGTATAATACATCAGGGGGGATATGATCTCCATGTATAATACATAAGGGGGATATGATCTCCATGTATAATACATAAGGGGGGATATGATCTCCATGTATAATACATAAGGGGGATATGATCTCCATGTATACATAACATAAGGGGGATATGATCTCCATGTATTAATACATAAGGGGGATATGATTATGTATAAATACATAAGAGGGGATATGATCTCCATGTATAATACATAAGGGGATATGATCTCCATGTATAATACATA